AGGTCCCTAAACTCGATCTAGCACGTAAAGTTACGAACTTTACGTGCATACATGGGACTTTGAGCCTAAAAGGCTCTAAAAGAGGCTCTTGAGTTGCATGGGGGCTTCCATGGGTGCAAAAGCAACCCTTTTCTACCTTGTAACTCCTTCATGGACCTAGATCCGAAGCCTTAACCCCCAACCATGCTTGCAATCATGGTTGGTTACCAAAAATGGCTTATAAAAGCCCTAAATCTCCCCAAAGAGGGATCTAACAAATGAACAAGCAAGGTATCGACTTTATACCTTCTGGGAACTGCAAATGATGCACAAACTTGAACCCCCTTGGTCTTCTCTTGATTCCTCTAGGCCCTTCCTTCTTCCTTGTGATCAAGACAACCAAGAATCACCACAAATGCCTTTAGATCTTCACACACACAGTTAGGGTTTGCTATGGGGGGTTTCTGGAAGCAATAGGGACGAAGGGTGGCTGAATGAGACGTTTAAATAGGATGTAAACCCTTAGATTATGGTTTTTGTCCAGTCAGAGCCTACTCGTCGAGTCTGCAGCCGACTCGACGAGTACATCATTTAAATCCCGAATCAAATTCGTTTCTACTCGACGAGTTGGTCCTTCAACTCGCCGAGTCCCAGGCCAAAAATGCAAAATACTTAAATAAAATACATACCAGGAACCAGGTGCTACACATGACCTTTCATTTCCATACGATCCATGGGTTAAAAACTCCATGGACTATCCACTCAAGCTTAGCCCAACCTAAATGAACTTGGCCAATGCTATATATATAAGAGTCCATATTTAATTAGTTCCTTTTTTGATCACTAAATTAATTCTAAATTAATTCTTGATCAATACTAATTAAATAATATGATTCCATATTAATATATTAGAACTTATAATATATTAATATAAATCATAAACATACTATTCTCAAAAGACTATCCATATAAATTGTTCCGGTGAAGTGCAACCCAAATGGACCATGCTATTAACGGGTCTATGCCAATAATAGTTATGGGCTTAGACATCTAATCCAACAGAGTTTTCTTGTATTAGTCGGGTATTATCGGAGATTTATTCAGGATTTCTCCGAGGTGGCTGTACCCCTCACTCGTTTGACAAGGAAGGGCATGGATTTCCGCTGGGGGCTAGGTCAGCAGGCTGCGTTCAAGACACTGCAGCAGAAGTTGTGGGAGGCCCCAGTGTTGACCCTTTCGGAGGGTGTTGAGGATTTTGTTGTTTATTATGATGCTTCCATCATCGGGGTGGGGGCATTTCTAATGCAATGAGGGAGGGTTATTGCTTATGCTTCTCGACAGCTGAAGCCGCATGAGGTTCGTTATCCGCCTCATGATTTAGAGTTGGGAGCAGTGGTGTTTGATCTCAAGATTTGGTGGCATTATTTGTATGGGGTTTGGTGTACTATATGACATGGATCACAAGAGTTTGAAATGCCTCATGGATCTGTCGAATCTGAACATGAGACAAAGTAGGTGGCTTGACATGGTCAAGGATTATAACTGCGATATTCTGTATCACCCAGGGAAGTCGAATGTGGTTGATGATGCTCTGATCTGCAAGTCGGCTAGTTCTATTGTTGGGAGCGTGTGTATGAGGATTTTGATTGATTCTTTGCTACTTGATTTGATTAGGGAGGCTCAGGTCGAGGGAGCCAAGGATGAGAATTAGAAACATGAGAGGCTCAGGGGTGAGATTGACAAATTTACTATTGACAGTCGTGGATTATTGACCCGATGTAGTCAGGTTTGGGTGCCATACTTTGGTGGGAATAGACAGACTATGCTGGAGGAGGCACACAAGTCCAGGTTTTCGATACACTCTGGAGCCACCAAGATGTATCGGGATTGGAGACTTAGTTATTGGTGGTTGTGCATGAAGAGAGAGATAGTCCGGTCTGTCGAGAGGTGCTTGACCTGTCGGATGGTCAAGGTCGAGCACTAGAGGTTGCATGGAAAGCTGCAACCATTAGAGGTTCCCATATGGAAATGGGAACATATTACTATGGATTTCATCACTAAGTTACCTCGGATGGCTAAGGGATTCGACACGATATGGGTTATAGTGGACCGTCTGACCAAGAGCCCCCACTTTCTAGCCATTCGAGAGAGCTCATCGAACGAGAAATTGGCCGATTTATATGTGCGCGAGATTTTTGCCCAGCATGGTATTCCAGTCTCCATTGGAGCATGGAGAGAAGATGAACCGGGAGTGTCGCGGAAAAGACCATGAAGACATAAATCGAATCGTTGCATTTCATCATAGCAAAGGACCACGTTTGAAGCATGGTTCGTGTCACACCGATACGGGTCGTGTTTGTCCTTTTCATCATATATTTGAGCAACATGACTCGGTGTGAAGCTAGACCGAAGACGTAGCAAAGTTTGAAGACTTATTGGAGATTTTTTTTTTGCAAAAAGCATGGCCATGCTAAAAATACATGGTCAAAACATATGACCATGCTTAAATCACATGGTCAAAACACATGGCCATGCTAAAAACATATGGCCTTGAATTAAGCACGTGCGTAGTTACTAAAATAAAGGAAATCACCATTTTTCATTGGATACGGTTTTGGGGAGCAAGTTTTGGTGATTTTGGCGGACTTTTGAAGGCTACTAATCATTTCAAACACTTTTAATTTCCATTTGTATGAATTAAACACTTTCATTCCCATCTTTTTGTTGGTTGATTTGTTCTTAGCCATGCTTGGCTACGAAACCCTAATTTCTAGTTCTTGTTCAAAACATGTTGATTGCTTGACTTGAAGCATATGGCTTGATACTTAATTTATGATTCTATTCTAGTGATTATCTTCGTGTTAAACTAGAATCCTTGAATTTGATTTGTGTTTGATTGACCATTTATATGAATTGAATTCTTGTGTAGTTAATTAACTTTTAAGGAACTTAATAGTTCTATAAAGTTAATGATTGGTAACAAACCATAGGTTTTCTTATTGTAGAATATATATCACATGTTTTCACACTTCCGAGCATAAGAAAAGAAATGAACATTGTTGAAAAGCTTGTATAAAACTTAATGTAGTTTTTCAATACAATCTAAGAACGTGTTTAGGTTGAATAAGTGAAGCTAGGTCTAGTTAAAGAGCATATTTTGGTTAGATAAGTTGACAAGCGAGAGGTATTAGAGCGTGTTAATATCTTCCAGTACTAACTTACAATAACAATTATGAATTACATGAAGTCATAATCAAGTTAAATGACAACATTGAGAACTAGAACTAGAACCATTCCAACAAACTGTTTACAAGTTCATTTCATTTTCTGCATGGTCTCATAGTAGATTGTTATTTTCATTATTAGACTTTTTCAAACAACCCCCCCCCCCCCTTTTTATCAAAGTACCTTGCGCAAAGAGATATAGACTGACTGTCTCGTGTCTTTGTGGTTCGACCCTACTTGCTTTGTACTACTTTTTAGTGCATTAAAGCAGTGTATTTGGAGTCTATTGTACCCCTATTATTTGTTGGGCTTGACACACCTAACAAATTGGCGCCATTGACGGGGACATGATGTTACTAATTGTTTATGCCCAGATCTTTTCGTACAGGTACACCATTGCCAATTGACATGGAGATAGAGAAGACTTCAATGAGGTTATAAAAGCAAGCCAAGTTTCGTAAGAGGCAACCGAGTTTCAGGACTTCTTCATCATCCACTCCTCTGGTCATTAACATTTGGGAGGACATACCCCTCTCAAGTGTATCAGAAAATGAAACAGAAACCTTCTCACTCTCAGCACAACCATTATCATCCAGAAACACCATTCCACCTACCCATAGTATCACGAACTTCATACCCACATAAACCTCAATTCCTACTCCCACCATGGAAGACCAAGGAGGAAACGTAGGTGGTAATAATAACAACAACTGTGGTCCATAAAACCTACCCGAGCAAACCCTTCGCTAATGGGCTAGGCAAAAGGTTACTCAACAACCTCTTTGCATCACCTATCCAACAACCACAAACTTTGAACTATAATACGGCTTCATCCACTTACTCCCAACCTTTAGAGGCCGAGAAAATGAAGATCCCCACAAATTCCTCACTGAATTCCATGTTGTGTGTGTTGGCATGAAACCACACAATGTAGCAGAGGATCAAATCAAGCATATGGCATTCCCCTTTGTTATGCAAGATGGAGCTAAAGATTGACTTTATGATCTTCCACCAGGTTCAAAAATATTTGTGTCTTGACAACATTATACTCGTCATTCAACCCCATTAGAAAGTCATACAACCTTTCCTTTTCTCGAATCTACATGAACTCCTTGTTGACATCACACTTGCAACCATTACAAACACAGGAGGGTGTAGGACTTATAGACTATATTTCATCCCACAGACTCCTAAGCTTCGTGTAGTATACAGATATGGGCATATCTCTTTGTCGTATGGTAGTGACAGTTCTTCTCAGCTCCTATGCTCTGGGGCGTTTTCTTTTCCAAAACGCTCTTCAAGATCCACCCAAATGTCGTGTGCAGTAACTGCATAATTTACACTGCTCTTGATATCTTTCTCCATTGAACTCACAAGCTATCCTCAAACCATTGCATTGCATCTCCTCCAATTCATCAGAATCTTTTGGCATCGACATTGTGCCATCAACGAAACCAAACTTATTTTTGGCAAACAATTAATGCATTTGTCATCTCGTTTTTCCACACTATAATTACTAGTCACTGTAATTATTGTCATGGAGTAAGTTTTCTCCAACAAAATTCTGGCCAGGATGATCAATAGGAGTGAGGAAGACCGAAGACGTGATATCAATGCATGTCTTTGATGAAGATGTGTCAACAGGTCCTGTCGTGGCTTAGGTAATTTCGGCTAGGGCTTTCAGACCCGTTCCGATACCATGTGAAATTTGGTAGAGAAGAATAAAAAAAAAGCTACGTTTCTCATTGATCAGAAGAAAACGATTACAGTTGTTTATATACCAAACAAAAGATAAAGACCAATTTAAAATAGAGATAAGCATATATCTAAACAATTCGTGTATGAAGATAAGTATTCCAACAGCTTAGAGAATAAATTTACAGTACAAGATAAGCCCACAAATACTTTGATGTGGACCCCCAAACAGACTCATCCACCCCAATTCTCAAATGGATTCTTATGGAATTATTAGAAAAACAAAGGAAACCACTACAACTACTACATACATTTTACAAACAAAAACGAAAAAACAAAAGGATCGTCGTCTTCCTCATTTGTTCTTGAATGGGATGGCCCTGATCACCACTACGTGGTACAGTGCTGCAAGTGCTGCTCCGATGAAAGGTCCTACCCAGAATACCCACTGCATTCCCACAAACACAAAAACAACAAATCTTTATCAAAACATTATACCTATGATCTGCATTCAAATCAACATTTATATAAACGGAGGTGGAAGACTTACGTGATCATTCCATGCGTGGTCCTGGTTGAAAATAATGGCAGCTCCCAAGCTCCTTGCCGGGTTAATTCCAGTTCCGGTGATCGGAATGGTGGCCAAGTGCACCAAAAACACAGCAAACCCAATTGGCAACGGCGCCAATATCTGAAAAATCAACACAAAACCCATTTTCAAATCGTTGTCTTTATTAGAAGATTGGTGATTTAAGAGTTGAACTTGTTCGTACCGGAACATGGGAGTCTCGGGCGCTGCGCTTGGCGTCAGTGGCGGAGAATACAGTGTAAACGAGGACAAATGTGCCGATGATTTCAGCACCGAGGCCGTCGCCCTTGGTGTAACCGTGTGCAATCGTGTTTGCGCCACCGCCGAGTAGCTTATACTGTTTGCTTCCTTCGAACCCCTTAACGACACCGGCGCCGCAGATGGCGCCAAGACACTGCATCACCATGTAGTACAACGCCCTGGTCAACGACAGTTTTCTTGCCAGAAACAACCCAAATGTCACCGCCGGATTAATATGCCCGCCTGCAAATTCATTGTTAATTACTCCAACTAATTAATAAAGATTAATTCTTTTGTTAGAAAGTGATATACCTGAG